CAAGGAATTAATTATAATGATCACGGAATGTTGGTTCTGCTTATTGAATCACTTTCAATTTTAAGAATTACATCGTTCCGCCATTTCAGGTTTTACATTTCAGCATAGTTAATCGAGGTGTGCAAGGCTAAGTTCTTCAGATTCTCATTAGTTTTGAAGTTTTTTAAAGTACAGCACGCCATTTCAACACGACACCTGATAACTGATTTAAGTTCATACGACTCGTTTCACATATGATGCGCGTTTTGTAGCAAAATTACTTTTCGATCCATTGAACTTAAACAATGACAATCCTGCCGTCACATAACGCGTGTTAAGCGCGAAAATAATTGGACAAAATAGATCTGAACTGACGCAAACTTGTGAACTGGATAACGGAGTACTCGCAACCAACTTCGCTGAAAAGGAGGGACTGCTAGTAGTCTAAGAAAAATGTTAATTCTACAGTGACGGCCGATATCGGTATATCTGTCGTATTATGTCACGCCAAGTGTAGCAAAATTATTTTTCGACTCATTAAACGTAGATAGTGATAATCCTAAGAGTTTTTTTAACCAACTGTCGGCTCATAAATCGCGTTAAGCGCGAAGAATTGGACAAAATGGAAATGAACTGACGCAAATTTGTAAAACGGGTAAGGGAGTATGCACTGAAACTGAACCAAACCTTACAGAGTTACATCAGTTAACGACAAAAAATTCATATATTGCATCTAAGAGTGGAAATCCTTGTCGTTTCCAACACAGGAAGTGTTTATGAGTCTTCAGAAGAGTATTCAGCTTTTCAGCAGGACGCCTGTTGATTTTATTGAATTTTAGACGCACTTTAGTTGTCAATAGAAGCTCAAGTGCAAAATGTCAGCGACGGCAAAGAGAAATTCAATTTTTATGCTAGTGAGAATGAGCTGTAAACCTACCTGACGAGTGTAAACCGTCTATGTACACATAGTTAGATGATTAAAGTCACTGCTTTGATTCGCCCTTGTCTTTTGCGACATGGTACAGTGATTCTTTGTCGGAGCCACATTGTAAGCAACTTTCGTGGCATTCGCTGCCACTGAACAACAAGAAACTTCTGGTGACTTGGCTAGTCAAGATCAAACAGGAAAACACGCCCGTGAGTAAAAATTGAAAAATTAAACGAGACTTACCTGTAAGTTGAAGTTTGATTGGAATTCTATCGAGTCATCAAACTGCACCAAGGGATCACATGAGATAGCTAGACGCATGCGCATAACCAGTATTTACAGCCGAATGTGACAGTCTGATCACCATGAAGTAGATTATATAAGAACTGTAATGTCAATAGCATTACAAATAAATGGGTGGGTAAAATCAAATGTAAGTATGATTTGTTGCCCAAGGGTGGGCATGTGNTTCCTCGTTCTAAAAGCACCACGCAAAGTACACAGACAACAAGAGCATTCCTCGTTCCACAAGCGCCCGACAAAGTGCACAAACAACAAAAATATTCCTCGTTCTAAAAGCGCCGCGCAAATTGTACAAACAACAAGAGTATTCCTCGTTCTAAAAGCGCCGCGCAAAGTACACAAACAAGAAGAGTATTTCTCGTTCCACAAGCGCCACACAAAGTGCACAAACAACAAAAATATTCCTCTTTCTAAAAGGACCGCGTGAAGTGCACAAACAAGAAGTTTATTCCTGAGAAAGATGTTGTTCGTCTGGTCACGAGCGTGGGTCAACGAAAAATTCTATCAGTGGTAGAGCATCAAGGCGCGGAATCCGAAGGTCTGAGGTTCGATTCTTCATGGGGATTCAGAATTTTGACTTTCCCATGTTCGTGACAAGACGAACAACATCTTTCTCTATTTCCTTACCGCGCTCTAAATTTACCATCTTTCTTATTCTATTTACAAGTCCTCTTTGGACTAAAAAAATGTCTTGGGCGCAGCTCACGAATAACTACAGTATTTCTCGTTCTAGAAAAAAGCACTGCGAGAAATGGGCCAAAAAATTTACACTAGGAATGGTGTTTTGAAGCTCTTTCTCACCTTTATTGACGGTATTCATGAAGAATTTTAACAGAAAAGAAAATTTGTCCCATATAATTTGTTTTAAATTGCAATTTCTACACAAATACATACAGTAGTGATGAATTGATTGGATGGGATGTCTATCACAAAAACGCAACTTTGTGAAAGGAAAGGGATAGACATTTGTATCATCAAATAACAACCAAAACCAACGTGAACTCTGTTTCGATTGAATGCAATGTTAAAGAGCGGATAAAATCGACGCTCGTGTAGGAACACCGTAAACATTCAATGTGACCGTTGAAATGACGATTAGGGAAGAAAAAAATTATCTGACAATTATATTTCCAAGAATACCCTTAGTGAGATCCGGCCAATTTTCGAAGGCATAGCCTTAGCCTTTTACTTAGGCGCCTGACTTTGGCTTTTGACACCGGTTGCCTGGCAAGAATACTTTGTGCCGGTGAAAAAGATTAATTGAGTGGGATATCCATTGAAAACGCCACTTTGTAAAAGAAAAAGTTAAGAATTTTTACTTTTATCAAATAACAAATAACGGTAACGCGAACTCTTTTTTTATCGATCGAATGCAAAATTCAACGCACTCGATTCCTTCTCCATTCCTTCCTTCGATTCCCAGTAAGAACGACCTCACGACACTAACGGACTCGTCAAATTTTGAAAAGCTCTCTCCAATAAATCGGAGCATAAACAGAAGCATTAATAGAAGAACGTTGTCGGTGAAGACGCTCGCCATTATTAACGCATCGAACAAGTTGCATGGCTACCAGAGAAACAAATGATGCGTTTTGTTTCCATGGTTCCCGTAATGGATATTCATAACGGACGAATTGTACGGATCTTACACACCCACACCACCATCAGGGGTCAGTGGCGTGAGGTGAAAAACTGCAATTAAGTCTCCCTAATGTGAAGCACGGGTCGTCACGACTCGCGAATGCACTAGAAGACTCGTAACGATTTGTGGTATTGGACAACCCTCACGGACCCATTAGGATTAACGACGGCACGACTGTGCAGCTTTTAACATCGAGTATATGTACATGAAATGATCAAGAAATTCTGCCGAAAATACCATTTTGATTAAAAATGCCTTCTAATTGCTAATTTATATGTGTTAGTATTAAATTTTCGGTAATAGTTCTGTGGTCTTCTAATTTAACTCTGACTCAGTTTAATTGCCAATCCATATCATTCCTCAGATTGTGAGAGACCTAAGATTTCCACAGAGACTGCTACTAAAACAAGATGACGCTAAAATCATTTCGTGACGACCAGTTAAACTATTTCAAATTTGCTTCCATCGTACTGGATGAGTTCCCAAAGGCATTACGTCAGACGTTCAAGTCCATGTGGGACAACAGTTTGACACATCTTCCCGGTCATCAAATGTGGGATGACTCCACTCCAGTGAGAAATTTATTCCTCACTTTTGAAGGTGGCCCTGGTAAAACCAAAGTTCCCACCCACCACTCCTTTGAAGAATGGGATTGTACCGCCCTGTTCCAGGCCACCATCTACGCCAAGTCCTTTGCTTTGCCCGACAGTGGAGGTCAACACAAGACACTTGGTGAGCTGTTCATTAAACCTCGAAAACTGGCTCATGGATTGTTCCATGCATCGGTGACGAGTCTGAGTGGGAACAATGCTGAAACGTTTGCGCTTGCGATTGATCAGCTTCGACTTTTAAGAAATTCCCTATGTCACTCGCACACCTCTGAAATTGTTAAAGCCACCTTTGACCAGTACGTGAGGCACGCTAAGGACGCATTCAAAGCTCTTGGTGTCACGACGGACCCTATTGATGTCATTGGTGGTTTATCAGAGTCAGAATTTCCCACAAATGAAGTTCGTAGACTAGAAGAATGTATCAAAGAGGAATATCGAACTTTTGTAAGTTTTCTGCAACAACAGAATCAACATCTGGAGGGCATCAGCTCAGATGTGAAAGCCTTGAAACACAAGATGGAAGATATGCCAACTAAAGACATGTTTAAGATGCTGGAACAAATGATCAAAGATTTGAATCAGACTCCAGCCCAGAAAAAATCAGGTAAATGCGTATTTCGAAGAATGCTTGATCCTTGTAGTTCTGGAACAGTTTCTATGCCAAGACAGTGGTTGATATTATGGGTCTTTAAGAAGGTTTATATTTGTGAAATACTTACCCCTGTAGTTTTTACTGAGGCTTTCCAAAGTTGAAATTCCGGCTTCGTCCCTTTTTTTCCTTCAGTTGCAAATCGCAGTTAAGTCCTTAACACGCTTGCGCGACGTTTTGGCCGATGAGCACATGGTGTAATGGCGGAAGTATACAAGTTCTTGCGGCGCAAAATCAGCACAGATACACTCAAAACGCAAAAATAAAATATGCACTCAGTGTTCGCAGTAGGCCCTCACTAAAAGATGTCGAGCGTTTTCAAAGTTTCTTTTCAAACGGAAAGCCCGAGTTAACGCTTATATGCGTCTAATTTAAGTTAAAGTTTCAGAAGACTATAAGTAATTTATGACGTAAAAAGCTATAAATATCATTACACATATTACTCGCCTTTTTGAATAAAAAAAAAAGCACACAATGCGCGCTTTTCTCTAAGTAAAATTCTGATCTTTTTCTTCAAGACTTGTATAGTGATTGAACGCTCCCAAAAAAAGCAAACGTAGCAAGGGGTCATTAATAATCATATTTGTTTGTATTTTAAACAGATGAGAATCTGACATCCACTACACCAAGTAAAGATACTCCACTGGAAATGAATACAGCTGACCAGGACAGCAAACGGGAGGAGGTCTCCTGTTCACCACGAACCCTGTTAAAGGTTGAATATAAGACTACGGTTACACATTTGAAATCAGGCGATTTTGCATTGGCTCTTCAGTCTGCAAAACGTGCCCTTGACATTATACAAACTATGTTTGGAGAGGAACACCCTAAAGTGGCTGACGTGTACTCATTAATCGGGCTTATACAAAATAATTTAGGGAACTTTGCATCAGCCCTTCCTTCCTTCCAGCGAGCCCTTCACATCAGACTCGAGTTGTTCGGCGAGGAACACTCAGACACGGCTCAAAGTTACAATTCTGTGGGAGACACACAACGTTGCCTAGGTGATTATGAGTCAGCTCTTAAGTCTACACAGCGAGCCCTTGACATTAGAAAAAAGCTGTTTGGTGAGGAGCACTCAGACACAGCTCAAAGTTACCATTCTTTGGGGATAACACAACATTGTCTGGGTGACTATGTATCAGCTCAAAAGTCAAAAATATGTGCCTTGGATATCCGATGTAAGTTGTTTGGCGAGGAACACTCAGACACAGCTAAAAGTTTCCATTCTCTAGGGGACACACAACATTGGTTAGGTAATTATGAATCAGCTCTTAAGTTTACACAGCGAGCCCTGGACATCAGGAAAAAGTTGTTTGGAGAGGGACACTCAGACACAGCTCAAAGTTACCATTCTCTGGGGAACACACAACATTGCTTAGGTCATTATACATCAGCTCAAAAGTCTAAACAAAGTGCCCTGGATATCCGACGCAAGTTGTTTGGCGAGGAACACTCAGACACAGCTAAAAGTTACCTTTATCTAGGGATCACACAGCATTCCTTAGGTCATTATGCATCAGCTCAAAAGTCTAAACAAAGTGCGCTCGATATCCGACGCAAGTTGTTTGGCGAGGAACACTCAGAGACTGCTAAAAGTTACCATTACCTGGGGATCACACAGCATTCCTTAGCTGATTATGCATCAGCTCAAAAGTCTCAACAGCGTGCCCTTGACATCAGAAAAAAATTGTTTGGCGAGGAACATTCAGACACAGCTAAAAGTTACCTTCGTCTCGGGATCACACAGCATTCCTTAGGTGATTATAAATCAGCTCTGAAGTCCTTGAAGCAAGCCCTTGACATCAGAAAAAAATTGTTTGGCAAGGAAAACTCAGACACAGCTCAAAGTTACCTTCATCTGGGGATTACACAACATTCCTTAGGTGATTATGTATCAGCTCAAAAGTCTAAACAGCGTGCCCTTGATATCCAACGCAAGTTGTTCGGCGAGGAACACTCAGACACAGCTCAAAG